TGTTTACAGGTGATTATACACTAATGAAAACATATGTAAGAATATTATATTCCATTTCTGCCAATAAATCCTCCTCAATGTTGGAGACTAACCTTTTTAGCAATCTATTATACTGAATTAATTCTGACGTGACACTCAGTCATTCCTGCCAGGCGTTTGGTCTATAAATAGTTTTGAGTTACTATGTCATTCTTGGTACAGTGCCACAATCCCAAAACACATCAACCATCAGACAAGTGGCTAAAATCAGAGCTTAGTGTATTGACTAAACATCTCCACCCTGCCTGCAAATATACTCACCTGTCTGTGTATAATTATTCTTCATCTGTGTATGACTCTTGCTTGTTTGCACAAAAGGTGTATGCCAGTGAGGTGGATTCTGAGAATATATACACAGACGTGCATCTACACAGAACGTACTGATACTGTTGTAGTTTACCGTTTGCGAGACTCTGGGTCAGGGTTGGTGTTGTCGACGGCGACGCTGCGGCCCTCTTTCAGAGCGCGCTCACATGCCGACACACAGCTTTGCCATGATCCGAGTGTATCCTGACACAAAAACGACACAAGCAAGATTGATCACAGTGTGTCAGGAAAGGCTTTAACAAAAAATTAGGCCAATTTGTATATTAACAAAAACACAGTTATCTTCATCCTGTTGGTGGTTGTCATCATTATTACAATAATACCATACTAATCCACTTATCAAATAGGAAAGCAGTGTAACATCAAGAAAAAAATGTCTTAATTTTGGCAGTTAAAGGTCCAGTGTGTAATCTTTATAATCACCTGAAATTAAGATTACCTTAGACTGAGCTGGTTTTATCTACAGAGGGATAAGCCATACGTCATGTTTTCCCTTATTTGTACACTAGCCCAGACCAGGCAAACCACTCGCTCTAGACAGGGCTTTTGGCACTTTTTGTGTCAAGTTTCACGACCACCGTAGTTTGTCCTATGTGCTTGGAAGGTGTGTATTCCAATGGTTGCAATCTGCAATTTCACCACTAGATGCCACTAAATCCTACACACTGGTCCTTTAACTATGGAGGCCCTGAGAGGCAAGTGAGAAATAAAATTCTGGTGATCAATTTCCGAAGTCTGAACTTTTTTTTTCTCTTCTGTTAATGACTTGACAGGTAAAAAGAAAGTATTTTGCTGAGATAATCTTTTTATTATTGTTCTTATTTTTTTTTTTCTTGCTTTGTAAAAAAAAAATTTTTTCCAAGTAACTTTTATTTTCACCCATGAAAAAAGATTCAAGAGTTTCATTGTCACTCTGGTTGTATAAGAACACTTATTTTGTTGGGTGGCTCCATTACAGAATAAGACATATTGAAAATATTACTGTCAAAATACATTTCTAGCCAAAAAAAAAGAAATGACAGTAATTACTTGCAAATACACAATATATGGACCTTGTTTTTACCAATTAAAAACTAACCTGGAAGAAGCATTTAGAACATAGGGGAGTGGTGCACCTCAGTCTCTTGTAGCGGAAATAAGTATTAAAGAAAAGGATTTTCTCACTTGCCTCTCAGGGCTTCCATAGTTAACATCTTGTTGTACATAAAACCAAATGTTCTTGGTGCTTTCAGCACTGGGGCAGTACTGAAGCCTTGTTGACTGAGCCCTGTTCACAAAACTCCACTCACCCTGTTGACGTACACATAACCTTTTGGAATGATGTGGGTGTGGAAGAATGTGGATTTACCCGCTGTGGAGAAGAGAGAACAAGATCAGAATGGTGGTGTTGGGCGGGGAGCTCAGAAAAGGTGATATACCGTCTATTGTGTCTTACATGCAGGGAAACCCACGGCGACAATTACTTCTATCTGGCTGGAGGTGAGAGAAGCAGACGGCGGGTCGAAAAGTTTTGCAGTGCTGTCAATCTTCCTCTAGACGTCCAGATAAAGAAACACATGAACAACAGTGCAGACCAAGCCCACAAATGTGTTCTTAAACCATTTCAGTAGAGCCAGTGTGTGCATTGTACTCACAGGGTCAAAATTAGGCAGACTGTATGGGGCGCTCTTCCAGCCGAGGAAATACTCCTCTGGGGTATGGAACTGCAACCCAATGTTCAGAGCAAACTACAAAAACAAGAAAAAAGACAGTAACTGGTACACAATGCTCATATTTCACCAGATTTGTGCTCCTTTTCCTCTTAAAGGGTATCATTAAGAAACATCGAGTTATGGTATTACGTATTAAATGACATTTAAGATGACATATAAGAACAATACTTCCCACAAATTAGCATACAAAACAAGTCACGGCAGGAGGAGGAGGAGAGTGAGGAGGAGGAATGGCACAAAGGGTTAAAATAAATAAATAAATGACCTAAATCAAAAGCAAACTCTTAGGTCTTACCAGTCGATCACTGCAGGAGAAATCCTTCTTCTTCTTCCCTGGAGCCCAATTCTCTGGCCTACCTGCAGCATCTGTGCACAGAGGTAAAGTCAATAGCTGTGTGTGTGTATGTCTGTGTGTACTCTCATAATTCTGTCTCTATGGGGATCGAATGTTCTTAAAGTAAAAGGAAGATTTATTTTATTGCATTTTGCACTATGAAGAGGTTAATTCTGGTTCATTTCTGGCTTGGGTTAGGTTTAGGTCAAGCATTAAGGATTAGGGTTTTGGGAGATATCAGGTAGTTAAGGACTGATCATGGTTAGGATTTTAGTTTATTTTTGGGTTTAAGGAAATAAGATTCAACATGGGATGGTTTTCAGAGTGTAGAGTGTAGATTGTGTGTGTGTGTGTGTGTGTGTGGCAAAACATATGCCACACCAATTCATATCCAAGTTAACTCACCTCCAACATAAAAACTCTGTGTGTGGTCAACAGTCACACCATCATTTGCCTGAGCAAGAAACACACATGCACACTTACAGTTAAAACTACAGCCACTGTTTATTGTCAAACCTGCCTGACTAATGCTGTGAGGAATGATAAAAGGGAGACTCCTATGACTCAGCTTAATTAGTATACATCTTCTTTGGTGTGGTATATGAGGTGTGGCTCTTAAAAAATATTGGGGGGGTGTGTGTGTGTGTGTTCAGGTACCTTCTCACACAAGTGATTCCACATTCCCATTACTGGTTTCCTGTAGATACCCGGACCGGTTGCTACAAACACCTGAGACACAGACCAGGAGAGGAAACAAATATTAGCCTTTTGTTCAGTAAATAGGAGAGAAAATGGGAGAATGTACAATATGACCAACCTGCACAGGTAGCTGCAGCTTGGTGAGGATATCCTCCACTTTAGACTTGAAGACTTCCGGTCTCAGTTTGCCTTTAGCGATCCCCATCTGGTTGGTAAAGAATACCACCTGCAGGAAGAGAGCGAGGGTAGATGGGGAAATCCAATGACAAACACTTCCAGAGTACATAAGATCCAATAATATTTCACTGGCTTTAATCTAGAAACTTTCACTAGATATGTTTAGCAACTGTTGCATTTAGGTTCCTCCCACCTTGTATCCTTTTCTGAGCAAGCTGGCCAGTCTTGGCTGAATCTCAGGGTACAAAATCCTGGTGATTAAACACAGTGACTGACAATTATAACAGACTGTGGAGATATAAAAAGTAATCAATACAAGCCAATGAGCTGGAAACAGAGACAGCCATTTCATTTATTATCTTAGTTTTGGAGTGCAGACATACCTCCAGTCATCTGGTGCGGTGGGAAAGACTTTGCCAGATTTGGTGGTGATGATGCAGCCATCAATGTCGAACCCAGCGATCTGGAGAGGAGGAAAAGAGGAAATGTGTGATCTCACCACATTAATAACTTCAGGGGTGGTTTTCCCTTCCTTTAACACCTCTAGAGTGTTCATAGTTTGAAACACTTGAACTTTTTTCAAGATTTCATGTATGTCAAACCTCCGGCTGGAGGGCCATTTCCAGCCCTCCATCCCCCTCCCTCCGGCCTGAGACATAATCCAGCACACAAGATTAGTATTCTTTGAATTATTTTTGTTGTTTCATATTAATTTAAACTACCCCAATACAATTAAAAAAAATATATATAGATAATAGAAAAGCTTGTTTGCCTGCCAACAACAAAGACAATATAAAATGCTGATATGTTAATTATGATGTTAGTATTTAGTTTTCAGAATATTGCACCTTCTTATAGTACTTAAATGTTGAAGTGGCCCTCCTATGAGATAACAATACCAGCAGCATCAATAAAGCCCTATACAGCACTTTTGTGTTTACGTCAAAATAAAACACATTAACAAAAGTGAAAAATGATCTGACATTGTCAGAGAAGAGCTTATCACTGCTGTTTAGAAGACCGTTTTAACTTCTCACTTCCTGTGGTTTGAGATGATGTGCAACCAAACTCAACGACAGAAATGAAATCTGCAACCACATTTATTTTCATAATTAATCTGCTGATTATTTTCTTGATTACTCGATTCATCATTTGGTATGTAAAATACCAGAAAATAGTAAAAAATGCACCAAGCATTTTTTTTAAACAATTCTCTGACCTCGACCACTAAAACAAATGAATAAATAAAGCCTTGTAAACGGCTCCCACCTTGTTGCTGCCTCTGACACCAGCAGCAGTGTAAAGCAACAGGTTGCCTATCTGCTGCCAGCTGCTCTTTAGACAGCCCTTTGAAGACGACACAGACGATGCAGAGGATGAGGGCTGGGTCGTGTTACTACTCTCTGTCATAGACTTCTCTGCCAACTCCTGCAGCTGCTTGAGCTTCTCCTCTGCCAGTCTCTCCTCCTCCTCCTCCTCCTCCTCCTTTATACGTCTATCTGAGGCCTCCTCACCTCTTCTTTGGCGCTTCACCTCGGGGTGCCCCCTATCTGGGCTCAGTCGTCTTTTCGATGACTAAATATAAAAATAAAAAATACATTTACAATTTCAGCTGTTCAATTTCAAGTTCTCTTGATGAATATGATCCTTGTTGTAACATTAAAGTAATAAGCAAATACAAAGCATGAACTAATACAGCAAACAGGTTTCAACACAATGAACAAACAGTTCCAGATGTGTTACCTTAATAGGAGAGGTAGAAAAGAAATCCTTGATACTGCGCTTGGGATTTGGACTCGACTGTGCCACTTTTTCTTTCTCGTTTCTCCCCCCCTTTGTCTTATCTGCAGCTTTTAGTCCTTTCTGTGCAGCGCTGGACGCAGCGCCCTTTGAGCTCAGGGAAAAGTGCAGTTTAAATGGATGGTTCTGGTTAACCATGTAGAGGGTGCCTCCATGGGTGAGTCTACCAGACTGGCCCCGCCCCAGCTTCTCACCATCCAGGAAACTGGGATTTGGACCCAGCTGTGGAAGAAAATAGGCCAAGAATGGACATTGGACTGCAGCACTGTTACAGTTAGTTCATAGGAGGATAACCACGGTGGGTCTAGGCAGTAAAGAGAGAAGTGCGCTGTCATCAGGTGGTCAGAAACAGATGTTTTGATTGTGTGGTGCCACATATTTCTTTCTCTTGTGTTTGTACAGTGAATGAAGCCAATGGGGGTTTTCTAGTCTGAGAGTTTCACAGTTTATAACTGAATTATAATTTATGACACTGGGCCGGGCTGCAGTGTTTGTTTTCATACCTGAGTAACAACCACATCCTGGTCTGCATAGCAAGCCACCACCTTCACTGAAAGAAACACACAGAGTACTACCATCATGTATACTCACATGCACACACGTCAATATTAATTTAGAGCTGTACGATTAGTTGACTAATCTAATAAAACAATTCTGATAAGAAACTAACTAATGCTATGTAAACATGCAAAAACAAGCAGCTTGCATGGGTCAGCTTAGGCTTTCCTAAATGGTTCACTGTTTTAAGCAGATGACTAATAGAGAAACTACATATCAGCCCTTTATCATAGAACTACTGCGGCTACTATGTGAGATCTCCAAGTTGCTTGTTTTGGTCGACCAACAGTTCAAAACCCAATATTCAATTTCTATAATACATATTCAAGAAGGCTGAAATGCAAATTCTTTCATTTGACTCAAACAATGATCCAATTATTAATATAGTTGTTGTCAATTGATTATCTGTCTGTTATCTATCTATTATGATGCCCTAAATGTGTTATTGGATCCATGTGACCCATTCATATTTCTTGCTCTGTGAGAGTTATAGGAGGTAGAAGCCTATAAGAAACAGAGGAACCCACGCTGTAGCAGTGGACCAGTCCATCAAACAAGCAGGAATGGTTGATTTTTAAATCCCACTTCGCAACTCACTCCAATAAAGTGCTTTAAGTGCTGCCAACACTGACACAAAACCACCAGGGCCTTGCATGTATACAATTACCTACGGACTTGTGAATGAATGTATTTTAATGTGTGTGCGTTTGAAACCGGAGCACGAGCCAAATAGCGTGCGTATATAATTGTGCACACTAGAAGGGTCTCGTGGGAAATTCGACAACAAAAGACCCACACGTGCAGCGTCACGACAGGCACGGTCCCTGTCTCTGTGTCGCACGTTTCCTCACCCTGGTGCCGCGAGCATTTCTTGTCGGCGACGCCGGTGTCCGGACCCCGGCCCAGAATCACCGCTCGGCCGTCCTCCAGAGAGACCCGAGCTCCAGAGGCGCCCACCAGAGTACAAGACATTTGAGCGAGACTGCCTCTCTTTGTGAACGACTCGTTTCATTAAACTATGAACCGAAACACACGAATAACGCACCGTGGCCGCGCCGTGTACTTCGACTATGTCACGGTGCTACTTTTACCACAACTTCTTTGTTGTATCTGAGCTGGTTGTTGAAGTAAACCGAACAGGAGGACAGGGCTTGTTTTGCAGTGTAGCTACGGTCCACCAGACAAAATACGCTCGTCTTGAAACGTGAGCGCCTTGAAGGTTCCGCTCATGACTTCTACTTTTCCGGGTATCAACGACATACAGTACACTGTATTTTCTCTTTGTATTGTCACGGAAGGCCAAGTCTGCGTGGTAAAGTTGGTCCTTTTCATTCATTTCGTTATTGGCAATTGAACAAAAATGTTATTTATTGTACATTTGTAGGAGTTTTGAATGTTGCGCAGACTTTATTTAACGTCCCTCCTTCAATCGGACAAGAGACAAGAGTGGGGGGAAAAAACTAATATCAAAACACAAAGGAGAAACAGGACAAGATGTTAAATCCTCCATCTAACTACAACCGGGTTGGGTCTGCTCATCTTTCTGTTTTATTTACTGCCCAATGATATAAACGTCAGATGTTTGATGAATGAACTGTATCCTCATTTTCTCCATAACAGGATGACCGGGATTTCTTAGTCATGTAGGCTAGTTGGTTGCATAAAGCCTTTTCTTTATGTATTTAGGTTAGTTTATTTTAGAGGCATAATAGAAGAAGGTTAAAACATATTGCAGTAGGGCATAGGCTTCATGTTAACACTCACACATTGTTTTTCACTATTTCTGTGTCTGTGTTGATTGACAGAGTCATTGGGGTGTTGTTTACAACCGTAACATGATACATTTAAAGTTTAGAGGTGCAACCCATGAGTTTGTTGTTATTGTTGATTAATCTATTCACTTTTTAAGTTAATCTGTTTATCATTTAATGTTAAAGGAAAAAAGTGTAAA